TATATCAAGTAACTTGTGAATTTAGAATCAACACGTTATTGTTTTGATTTTTGGCCTTAACTCACCCTACTCTGACCTACCTCTTACTCTGTTCAGATGGTTTCTAGATCAACTCACTTCTTTAATGAGTAGTTCTTTACTTTTATAGAACAGAGTCAGCTCATTGTCTTGAGACATAGTGATATACAGTGTAGGCTTATATATCTGGCTGCCTCTTTTTTTGATATTGTTAATCCTCACAGGAGAATATTTTTTTCCATTAAGTTTTTATAGAGGTGGAAGGGGGGAGAGAGAGAGAGACATTGATGTGAGACACATCGATTGGTTGCCTCCCTCACCTGCCCCCACCAAGGCTGGTAATCAAACCTGCAACCCAGGTACGTGCCCTTGATCTGGAATCAAACCCATGATCCTTTGGTTGGGGTGTGTGTGTGATGCTCTAACCACTGAGCAACGTCAGCCAGGGCTCTGGTTGCCTCTTTAACATAAATATTTGGTTGTCTATAAGGCCCCTCAAACAGCATGCTTAACTGAATTCTTGATTCCTTCTCTACACCCCTTTACTCTGTTCTTCCCCTGTTGTTCCCCATCTCAGAAATGGCAATTCCCTTATGTCCAAAACTTTGGGGTTCTCCTTGGTTCTTCTCTGTCTTTCATTCCCCTTATCTAATCAAACCAAGAATCCTGTCAGCTATTCCTTCAAAATCTCTCCAGAATCTGACCACTTATCACCCATATGACCTGCATCCTGGTCTAAACCACCACCATTTCTTGCATAAATTATTGTTATACTTCCCTAACAGGTCTTCTTGTTTCTGTCCTTCCTGCAGCTATTTTCAATATAGTAGCCAGAAGGATTCTGTTAAAACATAAGTCAGATCCTGTTATTCTTCTGCTCAAAATCTTCCAATGGTTCCCCATCTCAGGCAGTATAAAAGTTGGAGTCCTTTACCTAGGCCTACAAGGTTCTAGATTGAACTTTGCTCTCTGATCTCATCTCCTTCCTTCTCCCTCTTGTTCACTCTGCTCTCAGCCACACTGATCTTTCTAGAAAATGCCAAGCATTCTTCTGCTTCGGAACATTTGTATTTATTGTTTCTTCACTCCTCCTCTTCCCACCCCCAAATATTTGCATGGCTCACACCTTCATTTTATTCAGGTTTCTTCTGAATTGTTCCTTACTAGAGAGACCATCCCTGACCACATTATAACAACCCCCCATCACTTTCTCTCTCTCTTTCCCTGCTATATTTTCTCCACAACACTTATCACCAATTTTGTTTATTGCCTGTCTCTTTACATTGGAAGTTAAGGTCTTTGAGGGCAATAAGAAATGTTTATTGGGGCTCTACTATGTACCAGGTCCTTTTCTAGGCAAAGGGATATAACAGTAAACAAAACAGGCAGATAATATCTTTATGGTGTTTCCATTCTAGTATTATACAAGTATTTTCTCAGTAAATATTTGATAAATGCATTGAATGAATATAATATACACTCAACGGAGTGACAGGAATGGTTCCAAAGTAAAGGAGATTTGAATTGGCTTGTCACCCTTTAACTCACTGGAGAACCCACCACATCTAAAGAAATGGATATATAGCCTCCCAGATGAAAGGCTAGAAATCTAATCAAATCCCAGGATTCACAGACATTCCATACTTCTAATTCTAAGGGGTTCTTGGATTCCTCCCAGTTTACTGTTTAATGAAAAGGATCTGTGATTGGCCCAAAGTGACAAGTTTAGTGATTTACTGGAGTATCAGATCAGGAGGAAATTAGATAAGAAGTGCTAAAAACTAGTGAGAGGCTTTGGAGAAAAACTATTTTGTATCAAAACAGAATAAACACTAAGAGCAGAAGCAAAGATGCTGGTAGCCAGATCCAGATAAAGTGGCTTAGGAAAGTGGAAGAAGCTGCCTTCTTTAACAGAAAACTTGGGAGGCCAAGGGAAGAAGAAAACTGTAGAAACGATTAGACTTCCTATTTGGAGAGGAAGGGAAGACTAGGCCCACTACATAAGGTTGTATTGTTATTACTATCTCTCTCCTCTTCTCCTTGGCAATCAGGGAATATGAAAGATTTTGTGGTATTGGGAACAGCCTCAGGGGGGAAGTCAAAGGTGGAAAGAACTACATGCATCAAAGGGTGAGGTAACTGGGAGAGGAAAGAGACCGTGGCTGTAAGTTCTCAGCTTCTACGTAGCCTTCTGAAGACTTCCAGGAAACTGGTTGCAAACGAATTACAGGTGTATTTTACTTCATGGGCTACATTTCCTACGCATAAACTTGGTCATCAATTGTATACAAAGTGTCTGTTCTAGAGAATAGCCCCAGTGGTCCAGTTCTCCATTCAAAGGATCAATGCTGCTGCCACTTCTATGGACTAGAATACTCCACTCATCTTATTTCTCTGACTTTTTTTCATTACAGGATCCTTGTTCTGAGCTCTTTTTCAGACTTCATCCAGTTCTATTTCCTGTGGTCCCTATTGACAAAGTCCTGGTCCCATTTTTTTAATAGCACATGCCTTCTGGAACTGCCTCCATCATTGGCCCTTACTCACATTGGCAAATGTCAGCTTTAAAATCTAATCTCATTTTCATCTTTATAAAGTCATAGTGCTTTGTAACCCCCAGACATATATCTTTGACAGAGGTAGTCAGCACATGCTGTTTTTGAATCCAGATGGCTTTTCAGCAGCTCAGAGCTATGCATTCTACAAACTGATGTGCCAAAGAGGTAGTGTTCTGTCAATTGACAGAGTAATATTGAAATAGGGTGATTCAAAGACCCTGCCCAGCAGTTAGCTTAATGTCTTGTTATTCCCCACAAAATGCATTGCTAGTTAACTCAAATCTATCTTACCCTCAATAGGGATGGTTTTCATGGCACATCATAACCTAGCTGAAGAGGCAATAAACACCATCAACTTACATTATAAACACCAACAATTTGCCAGATACTAGTCTAGATGCTGGGGTTATCCAAAGAGAAATAAATTTCTGCCTTTAAGGAACTTATAAACAACTTCTAGAAGCTCTAGTTCATATTTGAACATGGTAGCTGATACCAATATTGACATGATTATCATTGGAATTAACACATCTTGTAAGTGCCACTATGGCACAACACTATGTCAATTCCAAGAATAGCACTGAATCCTCTTGGTGCCCTTAGTAGGTGTGGGATGTATCCAGGAGAGATTAGGTTCTTATGGAGGGTGATCTTGAGAGATACAAATGCTACTATGGCTCTCAGACATAATGTGAAAGGACTGAAGCTATCTGGGGTTGCAGGAGAGAGGATTCTGTGTGGTCAATTCTATGTCAAATGACTGATGGGTAGGCTAGGCTGAAAAAAAACTTCTTCTGTGACCCTGGGTCTGTGGACAATCCTTTTAGATGGTGAAGCACACTTGAAAAACTAGTTCTCAAAAGGGTACTCACATTAACTGAGATATGATAAAGGATCACCCAAGTAGACTTACCATCTACTCCTTCACTGGTTTTGCTTCTTTTATTGCGACGAACACGTCTACTTTCTGTTTCAGAGTATGACTTTTCTTCAGGGAAGAAAAAATTCAGAAGGGCCATCTGTAAAAATAACAAGTAGGTGAATAAAAGGTTGACCCTGGTCAACCACAACTGACATAAAAAACTAGTTTTCTGTAGACAGTTTACCTTCACCTTAAATTCAGTATGTCTAAAGCCTGAGCCCATCTTCCCCTCCACTGTAAAATCTTTTTATTTTTACCATTATTATTCCAGTAATGTAGGCATGAAATTTTGGCTAAGCTCTGAATACTCCCTCTTCTGCCCTGAATGTCTAATGACTAATCTTTTGAGTTCCATTTCTCCATATAGTTCTGGGATTCAGAGAGTCCAGTCATGGATTTCTAGCTCCCTTCACGTACTACTGATGTCTGCCCAGAATTAGACTTCAGTTTGCAACTCTCTCTTGGACTTTATTATTATACATCCATGATCTTTCCACATTCTTATTTATACTAAACTTTTGGTTTGTTCCCAGAATGCTCTGCATCCAATTATGATTGGAAGATGCCATTTATGTCAATGTTCTTCTGGGAGATAATAATAACAAAGCATACACTTATTCACTCCCTTTCCTAGACTCCTACAGAACTCCTATAGGACTTGGGTCTATAAGACTCATTTTGCTACTTGATCCTCTACTGTCTTATGATGATCTCTCATAATAATACAATATGTTTCATATGTGAATGGGTGTGGTTTTGTTAATGACAATCACAGCCAAAATATGTACTTGCTGAAATATATCATAATCTTTCAGCATGAGTGCCTCTTTGTGGTTAAAAATATGATTGAGGTAAACAGTGGACAGAGTAGTAGGAATAAGAGTGACTCTGATCTGACTTTGTCATTTATAGCTGTGTAACCTTGGGCAAGTTTCTTAAGCTTTAATTTCCTCACCTGTAAATAGGGATAATAAATAGCACTTTGCTCATAAAGTAGTTGAAGGGTTAGCACAGTACCCAGCATGTAATATGCACTCAATAAATGTTAGGTATTACTATTATTAAAATCACTCTTCCATATAGACTGGTTAGAGAGTTTGGGGGTTAAAAAGGGAGGAATGAATCTGCATTTTTACCCTAGTGTTAATGTTCAAAAATAAACAATTTCAGAATCCTCATGTCTGTTTCATCTCACATTAATTGAAAAAAATGGGTAGGACTCAAGAAAGCCTTATGATTCTCAACAAACTTTCTTCAAAACATTGTGATTTACTGTTTACATAGAAAAATTATATCCAACAGCTTTAATGTACAAGATTAGCATCTTGCATAATATATTAATGTATTAAATATAAATTTAATAAATGAATGTTTAGGTCATTTCCAACTTGTCATAAGGTTAATTTAAAAACATTTATGTTGAACCATATGAAACTGTCATTTTTGTATGTCAAAAATAGTTGAATATTAGCAATTTCACATGGTTCAGCTGAGCAGTATTTTTGAGTCATTTGATTGGAATGTAAAATGCATTTTCCCATAAAATCAACAGAATAAACTCTGGCTAGTTTTCCAGATAAAGCCCATAGAAAGTTACCTAACTCATAACATAAATAAGTTATTATACTACTGATAATATAAACCCAGATTGCTATTTACAATAAAAATCTCAATCACTTACAACTTCAAAAGAATAAGTCATTCTGGATGGAAGAGTTTTCTTGGTAACTCTGAGTACTGAAACTTACTTCAGCTATTTTGAATAGAAAATAGAAATTAATCCATAATATATGATTTAATTCAGGGCTTACTGAATATGTAGAAGACTATTTGTACATTAAATGGCCCCAGTCCACTATGGTTTTGAGGTTTTTAAAAAATTATAATTACATTACAAAGCAATACATGTTGTGTTGTATTATCCCAGAGAAACACAAGGTTCTCTGGGATAAAGTAGAAAAGCACCTAATACAGACTGAAGGTAGACAAGGCTTCTTGGAGGAGGTGCTACCTCTGTGAGTCCTGAAGGATGTCAATGATTTAGTGATGAATGGGAAATGAAAAAGGAATTCTGGGCGAAAGGACCATTGTGTGTAAAGGTGCACAGGAGAGATCCAAGATGGCAGTGGACTGAGTGGAAGCTACACTGACACTCTCCAGGGGCCAATCTGGATTTACAGCTAAGACGTAGAAAAATCATCCTGAAAAACAACTGAAGACTAGCTGGAGAGCACCCTCATAACCAAGGAGGAAAAGTGGAGACCACACAGAGACTGGTAGGAAGTGCAGATGTGAGAGGGCTGGCTGGGCTCCCACAGGCAGCAGCTGAAGGTCTGGAGGGATACTTCAGCTGTGGGGGGTTCCCACTGAGGACTCTGGAGCCTAAACTCCAGACTAGGATTCCCAGCCAAGAGAAACAGAACTGAGAAAGGTGCCCACATAACATCTGGCTATGAAAAGCAGCTGGGTTTCTGCCTGCCAGGGAGAGGCAGCTGGAACTGCAGGCACCCTCTTAAAGGGCTTATGCACAAAGTTTCATGTTCAGCCACTCACCTTGGGCTCCAGCAGAGGGGGAGTGGAATAGACTGGAGCTGTATGGGGAGAGTCTGGGGTTGTGGGCTCTGGAGAGTGAGATCAGGGGATGCCCATCTGGATTCCTGTGCAAAGTAATTCCTCCAGACTGTGGGGGTAATCTTTCTCCAGCAGCAAATTTTTGGCTGTTGCCTGAGGGGGGAAGCAATTGCCTCACCCTGCCGGAAAGCCTCTCACCCAGCCCAGAGGAGTTTCTACAGCCTGAGGCTTGTTAAGAGACTGATAGCAATCAGCTGCCCCACCCTGTGGAACTTCTACAACCTGAGGCTCATTAACAGAATAGGATTAATCAGCCTGCAGGTAGAGGCAGACTTCAGGGTGCTTTGAGTCTTTGCCTGATCTGCTTCGGGGACCCAGGCCTTAGAAAAGCATACTCTAGTGTGCATCTTGGTCCTGTCCAAATGCACCCAGTCCCAGCAGTGGAGACCTCAAGCTTAGGGTTGTTGATAGCCCCAAACAGGGTACTCAGGGCCAGTCACCAACTGCATCTCACATTGGCCTGTACCAGAGACCCTCCAGAAAGACTGAGAGTCCTAGCAGATCTACCTAACACTTAAAAACAAACCCCCCAAAAGTAGCCAAAATGGGGAGACCAAAAAACAAGCCCTAAATGAAAGAACAAGAGAAATATCCAGAAAAGAAGCCAAATGACATGGAGATAAGCAATCTCTCAGATACAGAGTTCAGAATACTGATTGTAAAGATGCTCAAGAGCATGAAAAAAAGATATGGAAACTATGAAAAATGACCAGTCAGAAATGAAGAATGACATAGAAGAAATAAAGAATACCTTGGAAGGAATAAACAGGAGATTAGAGGAAGCATCAGTGAATGAGAAGACAGGGTAGGAAAAATCACTCAATCAGAGACCCAAAAACAAAAAAACAACTACAAAACAGGAGGACAGTCTAAGGGAGCTGTAGGACAGCTTGAAATATAACAATATTCGTATTATATAGTAGTGCCAGAGAAGGTCAAAAGTAAGCAGGGGTTAGAGAACCTGTTTGATAAAATAATGGCAGAAAACTTCCCTAACCTGGTCAAGGAAAAAGTCACATAAGTTCAGGAGGCACAGAAAGTCCCAAGCAAGAAGAATCCAAAGAGACCCACACCCAGACACATCATAATTAAAATGCCAAGAATCCAAGACAAAGAGAGAACCTTAAAGGAAACTGGAGAAAAGCAATCTGTTATCTACAAAGGAGTCCCTATGAGGCTGTCATCTGACTTCTCATGAGAAATGCTACAGGCCAGAAGGGAGTGGCATGAAGTATTCAAGGTAATGCAAAACAAGGATCTGAAACCAAGACTACTCTATCCAGCAAGATTATCAATCAAACTGGATAGTGAAATAAAGAGCATCCCAGACAAAAAAAGGCTAAAAGACTTTATCACTACAAAATGAGCATTACAGGAAATTGTTAAAGGGACTGCTGTAATTAGAAGTAGAAATAAAGAGAATGAGAAACATAGGCAAAAAGAAACAAAATGGCAATAGATAAGTATCTTTCTATAATAACCTTAAATGTAAATGGCTTAAATACCCCAATAAAAAGATATATGGTAGCTGAATGGATAAGACAACAGGACCCAAATATATGCTGTCTATGAGAGTCCCACCTCAGAACAAAAGACTAACACAGGATGAGGGTGAAGGGATGGAAAAAATTTTCCATGCAAATGGAAATGAAAAAAAAAGCTGGGGTAACAATACCCATAAGAGACAAAACAGGCTTCCAAATGAAGACCATAACGAGAGACAAGAAAGGTCATTACATAATACTAAAGGGATCAATCCAACAAGAGGATATAACCCTGATAAACATATATGCACCCAATACAGGAGCACCTAAATTTATTTAAAAAACTTCTAGAGGACTTTAAGGGAGAGATCAACAGCAATACAGTCATACTAGAGGATTTTAACACCTCACTGACTTCACTGAATAGGTCTTCCATACAAAAAATCAACAAGGAAACAGTGACCCTAAATGACACACTAGATCAGATGGATTTAATTGACATTTATAGAACATTCTACCCCAAAGCTTCAGAATATACATTCTTCTCAAGTGCACATGGGACATTCTCAAAGACAGACCACATGTTAGGACAAAAAACAAGTCTCTACAAGTTCAAGAAAATTGAAATCATATCAAGCATCTTCTTGGACCACAATGGCATGAAATTTGAAATCAACTACAATAAAAGCACTACAAGACAGTTAAACACATGGAGGTTGAAAAGTATATTTTTAAACAATGAATGGGTTACCAAAGAGATCAAGAAAGAAATAAAAAACTTCCTGGAAACAAATGAAAATGAACACACAACAACCTAAATCTGTGGGACACAATGAAAGCAGTCCTGAGAGGGAAGTTCATAGCACTATAAGTCTACCTCAAAAAACAAGAAAAACTTCTAATAGACTCTCTAACCCTACAACTTAAAAACTTAGAAAGAGAACAACAAGAAAAGCCCAGAGTAAGTAGAAGGAAAGAAATA